ATACTATGGAATTTTCTTCTTTTTTTTTTGCTATCAAAGAATTTTTTATTTCGAATATAATTTGAGATTCTATTTAAAAAAAAAAGAGAAATATTTCTTTAATCTATTTTTATTTTTTTGATTTTACTTATTCCTAAAAAGGAAAAATTTTATATTTAAAGGCACTATACAAGAATTGTAAAATTTTTTCGAAATGTTTAAAAATAATTTTAAGGTCATTTTCTCTATCCTTATTATTTCGTATTTAAATTATAATTTGTGTTTTCAGAATTTATAAAATTTTAAAATTTAAAATTTAAAAAAAAATTTGAAAAAATCTAATGTTCTTAGTTTTGTTATACTAGGAAAAATATAATTGATGAGAGTAGTTAATATTAAAAATTGAATTGAGCAAATATTTTCTCAACTCAGTAAAACTTGAATATATATATATATACATTTTATTCTCTCAACATGTACTTATCCTACAACACCACGTGCAATTTGTACAATATTAAAATAATAACCAATAAAATCGCTAAATACACAATTATGTATGAAACCCATGTTGGGATCCCACCCCAACGTGAATTATCCCCCAAATGAACTAATCGCCGCCTGATGAATGCTTCATCATGTCAAAATCTACACGTACCGTAAACGGACTGATAAATTAAACAGAAGTGATAAATATCCCTGTCTACAATGTGTCCGGTGAGGAGTCTTACAAACAACAATTTGGCCTCTCTCCCTTCTGGGAGAGGAAACAGGATTGAAGAGCTTTGCTTATCTCATATCTGACCCTCAATATTTCTGCTATCATCGCTTTGTCCGTTCCGTCCCAACACGATTTCATGCAACCTCTCGGCAGTCCACAGAAAGGTTCGTGTCTGACAAAACCCATCATCGTTCCCGATTTTGTTATCTGTAACACCAATAATGACTAAATAAATATCCAGATTATGATAAAACGCTTATCTTTATAAATCTTTTAAATAAAAGTCAATAAATGGAGAAAATCAAACCACATTTATTTTTACGAGAAAGAAAAGCAAGAAAAAATTTTGAATTTCTCATAATTTTCAATTTTATAAAAAATATTTAATCTGACTTATCAAGTAATCTTCAGAATGGGTGAGAAAAATGAAATAAGAAAGAGGAAGAGAAAATATCGTTTGCTATTCATATTTTTTTCTCGTTCTTGACTGTATAACAGTATTTTTTGTTTTCTTTTTTTTTTTAATATAATAAAAATCAAATTTGTTACCTGTTAAAAATCCAAATTTATTTTCTCACCTTCATTCATTTTGTGTTTATTCAAGAAATTTGTGTTCTTCTCTTGTCTGTGTTAGAAAATAACAACTCACACTACCCCATTTTTGTCTAATCGAAATAATAAAACTTTGGAAAAATAAAAGATAAGGGATAAAATTTACTCCAAAGTCCTGGTATACAATAGTACGGGTGCATTAAAGCAGCTTAAAAAATATTCTATGACCAAATATTTATTTTATATTTAAAATCTTTATTAAAATTTAAATATCTGACGTGATTTAAAATAAAAATTTAAATTTTTTCTATTACTTAATCGAAAAATATTATGAATGCTTTTATATTTTTATACAAATTTACTTATGAGATAGCTTAATACCCCCTAATATATTTATTGTGCATTAATATTAGTTTGCAATTTTTTGAAATTTTTGTAAAATCTTTAAACAAGTAAAATTCTTCCTTTCATATATTTTGTTTGGTAGTTTACAAAATAATGATAAACTACAAATATTTAACACATCACATTTTGTTTAACTTTCTATGTATATGCAGGATTCATATACTCACATACATCAGCGAATTCATTGAATACAATGCAATTTTTGTTTATTGAATTAGTAGTGGAAGAACTCGAGGGAAAATTGTTCATATCTATCGGTAAATAACATCTGTTAATTTTCCGATTGAATTAAGAAAACTGGTCATTTCTGGTCAGTCGTGGCTATCTGTAAATAAAAACTTATGCCATAAATTTCGATTAATCAAAATTTTCCCTTTAGAATAGAAAATGCACAAATACAAATTTCTCTCTACTCAATAATAATAATCTCCACCTAATCATTTGAGAAACTGACTAAGGTAATATTATTTTCTATTAATGAATTAAATCACTCGTCCTATGTTCTATAAATTATTTAAAATGAGTGATAAATGCACAAATTTCAGTAATCTACTCAAAAAGATGTGACAAAATTAAAGCTTCAGAGACAAAAATTCGAAATATTAAAAAAATTTTTGCTCATTTGAATATTTCTCTCTCTCTTCTCACTTGCCTGGTATACCTCTTAACTTATGACTTACTATAGACATTTTTACACTTCCTGCAATATTTTTTTGTTGTTGTTTTTTTTTCTTTGTTAACTTTACATTTTTATAAATATTTTTACTATACGTTTTGTATATGCTCTTTCAAAAATATTATAAAGTTCAAATTTATTTTTTCTTTCGTCTTTTCTCTCAAAAGTAAATATTTTGAATTCTTTGATGGATGAATTTTAAAAGCAAACAAAATAAACTGTCAAAATAAGGCACAAAAAAAAATTAAAAGACAATATAGTAAAAGTAAACAATTTTTCATACATACAACCGGAAAAATGAAAAAAAAAACACGCAAACTGTTGAGAAACTTAGCGAATGAGGAATGTACTCGTATGCGAAATAAAGAGAGTGAAAAAAAAAAAGAGCGAAAATTGTTTCGACATTTTTGAAAAAATTTTCATTTTTCTACTTTACATTCACGCTAACGTCGTAATGTTTGTCATTTGCTTAGTTTATGCAAGTAGTACTTGCATTGCATAAACAACTTGCATTTTATTATAATGTTAACTTTATTACAGTCTCTACTGGAGTTAGAGTATTATTCTCACATAGTTTTGAGAAACAAAAATTTCATAAATTTTTTTAAGGATACGAAATAAAATTGGAATAAAATTGAGTTTCATAAAAATATTTCTATACAAAAACTAACGTGATATTATGTCGCAAATTGTTGTTTGCTTCGTATAACAGAAAGTTCATGTAAAATTTATGAAGAGCATTATAAAACAGTTGCTCTATATATGTATGTATATGTGCATATGTTGGACGTGAATAACAATTTTCAATAAAATTATTTAAATTTAACAAAATTATTTGAAATAGCTATCTTTATTATTTTTTATTGAGAAATTTAAAGAAAAATCGAATTCCTATAAATTTTAATGCAGATCAGTGCAATTTTCTTTAATTCAATCAATATTTCTCGAACCAAATAAAGTTGAGTACTGCATAGTGCAATTCGTTGCATACTTTTAGGTATAAGATATATTTTTCGATGGCAACACTGCTTTTATAGAAATTTCTAAAGGCTTAAATTTTGTTAAAAAAAAGTGGACCGCATTGAAATTTTGCTAATTTGAAGAGGTTAAAGAATTTTTAGGACAAAAGTTTGTTTAAGCGTGTTGTACGTGGACGGGACCAGCCTTAATTCATACTGTACAATATTTTAGACCGAAATACATGCAACAGATAACTGTCTGAGAGCCAGTTTAGGAATGGAATATTAAAATCATACCATTTATGTGTTCTCGGAAAGCGGGACGTCATTGCTGTCACTCCATTTATTTAATTAGAGTCACGCTCATTCATCCTAGACAAAGTGACCATGCAGGCAACGAAGTTGCCGATAGACGGACACGGTAGAGATTTGGAACGGAACTGACTTCATGCAGCTGTCGATTTTCTGCGGGCTGCTGTGGGCGAAACTAGGCTAGCCTGCTTGTATGGAACAGAATGGAACCTAAGGACAGAGAACCGTTATTCTAGCAGGATAGGTTGTCGGGTTGCAAATTTCTTTACTGGGTACTGTCAGTAAAACATTGCCTGTATAAGTAAACTTTTCTTAGATTTTGTGGGACGACCGCCTAGTACTGAAGTGATTTACTACGAATTTTCTGTTCAACTGCTGGAAGAAAATTTTCTAAAGTCCATTCGATTTCCTTGAATTCTACAATGTATACTGTTCTATGCTAAAGGAATAGAACCAACCACCTGACCAGTTTAAATTTTTTTTATTTAGTTTATAATTCAATAATTTTGTTCGGCCATCTGTTAATCTTTAATTTTCATATCAATTATGTTAATTAAATTTTCATATTAAATTAATATCGAAGAATTTTGAGCTTTATATTCAAATTACATGATTGAATTAAATTTTAAAAACTATTTTTTAATGTATACAACATTTTTGTTATTGGTTTTGTAATTTGACTACAAATTGTATTTGAGTTTCATTCCAAATTATATTTACAACTTTATTATAATTGCACGTTCTTGTATTTTGTAAACACTTTTAAATTTTTTGCAATGAATTTTAAAAATTTTATTCTATTGGTATGCCGCCCTCTTTGTATGCACAAAAAAATTTTCATTCTACGTTACCAAAAATTGTTTTTGTGTTTTTTTTTTATGCTATGTAAATGCAATGTTTAAGCTACGTAAACTCATTTAAACTCATTTTATTACTTTATCGTTATTTTTCACATATTAATTCCAAAATGTTTACAAATTCATAAATTTTCAATTTTTTTTTTATTTACAATTTTTCAATTGCTTATTACGAACGCGACTCTTCAAATTCCTTTAAAAAATTTTTTTTTTGCTCAAATTTTTATTTATTTTTTTTATCGCTTTTCCACCATCGCACAGTAAAATTTCAGTAAAGAAGAAAAAAATTTTGTTTACTCTTGTTTTTATTTTTTTTTTGACATGCATTCTTTTAAATTCTTTTTTTTTTTAAATACAATAATTTAATTTTTTTTACTACCTTTTAGTTTATTTTTTTGGAATTTTTTTTTATAAATGAATAAAATTTACATAATATTGTTTTTACGATCATAAAAAAAAAAAAAAAAAATAAAAAAATTTTTATGTAAATATTTTGATTTTAATATTTTATTTTATAACTTTCAAAAAAAAAAAAACAAAAGGACCTCCAGGACCACCGGGACCACCAGGCGCTTCATACAAATCAAATCAACAAGAAGAGCCATTTATTGCAGCTTCAAGTATGCGGATTGTACCAGGAGCGGTAACATTCCAAAATACCGAAACAATGACAAAGGTAATGAATTTTTGTTTTTTTTGAAATAACTGAAATATCAAGTTAAATTGAATGGATAAACATTGTTTTTATTCGACCACACCCCGATTCCTCGCGAAAATGGAAGTGAGTTGACAAGAACTTATATAATTATGAATATTGACAGGGGAATTCTAAATCCCAGGTCACTTACAATTCTCTAGCGAAAGCTTGAAAAAAATTATTTTGAGTATCAATCGAGTAGTTTGTTGGTTGATTAGGGTTGAAATATGTACTGGGTCTTAAAAAATCTGATGTGTTCCCCCTTAAAAGCCTAGTATTTTGTAAAAAGCCCTTCCTCAAGGGCCGAATCTCTAATGAATCCTTCTAACTATCCCGAAACCACATACCGTCAAATATCCCGAAGTCGCATGCCCACCAGCATAGATAGTAGCATGTCCAGGTAGTCCTTCCCCTATATGTTAGTACAATGAGGTAATTTGATTTACAGTGATTGTTGATTTGATTTCAAGCGTTTTTTTTGAATATTGTTCCAAGCCTCATTATTTTAATATTAGCTTGCGAAGTATGAACTCTAATACAATACTCTTATTTTAGAGACCTTATTTTACATCTATAAGAAGATATCATGCACTGGCTTGGTTTAAATCTAAATAATACAGTGAGCTAAATTTTCTAACCTATTCTAAAAGTTACCCTGTAATGTTCATAGATCATCATTTTGAACAACCTAATTTGTCTCACATAAATATTAAAAAATCAAATAAAATCAAGTAAATAATTTAATTATTTAATTTTTCTCTAAATATTTAACAAAATAATAAAATAAAAATCAAATATTTTGAAAAAAGTTAAAATTATTTGTAATACACAATTTTTAAAATCTATGTATTTATGTAAATAACTTGAACAATATTCCAATACACATGTATTGTTATTAATTTAAATCCTTTTATTCTATAAACTTTTTTTAATAATTAAATTAATTATTTAATTCTATTATTTACATTACAATTGTTTTATTATTGTCTCTAATATTCAATTTAACAAATATATTAAATTCAATTAACTATGTTAAATAATATGAAAAATGAATTTAAATAAAATTATTATTAAATATTCGAATTTCATAAATATTTAGAACTATCTCTACCTCTACATAATATTTAAAGTATTAATTAAATAATTTAATTTTGTAAAATTAAATTTAAATATTTAATTTTTATAAGAAATTAATCAGATAAATATGAAAATTTGAAGTTTTATACGTATACTCGTATTATACTTTAATATACAAAACTTTGAGCTGTTGAGCAAAGACTCAACTTCACATTTTAAGTGCACACTTTAGTTAATTTTTCGGACCTGTAAAATTCATAATCAAAAGCATTGCAAAATCACAATGGTGCAGTTATTTTACTTTATTGCAAAAAAAATATCCTAAAAGTATGCAACTACAATGCCATGCCATTTTATTTGATCATTTTTTACAGCATTTCATCGAACTTTTGCCACAATTAATAAATTCCCATGAAATTTAAGATTTTTCTTGTTTATGTCTGTCAGATGTGCAGTATATGAACGCACAATACCAAAGCAAACGAAGAATGACAACCCTTGTAATGCAAACCTTTTCGAAAATTCCCTAAAATAATCATGACATTATGTTTCTATTTAAATACAAATATTTTCTTTTATATCTGATTACCATATCCGAGTTTAAAATTTTGGCATTAATACTTGAATTAATCTTTTTAACGGGAAAAGGATTTTGATTGTCAAGGTTTTGAGCAAACCATAATATGGCCAGGGGCGCATTTATTAAAAACCCACTACTTATTAACCGTAAATTTCATAATATTTATAGATATTTTATAAAAAATTCAGAAAAAAATCCCGATTCCAATTATTTTGATATCGCACTACCTCCATTTAGAAAAAAAAAAAATGGCAAAACCACAGATTCCTTAACACCCACAGACAAAAAAAAAACTTATGGGAATATTTCCTTCCGTATAACATTGATAAAAACGAAAAATAGAAGAGAAATTGAGAGGAAATTTTTCTACTCGAAAAAGTAAAAATAAATTCCGAATAAAACCGAAATTAATCTGGCCATTTTTTTTTTGCGTTTCACTTCTTCTATTATAAAATAAAAAAAAAATGTTTATGTGTATATAATATGTTTATCCATCTCTTTCTTACTTATGCTGTAATAATATATAGTAAAATTTATTCAAAATTTTCTATCTCTAAAGTTTTATATATGTATATATTTTTTGTTTTCATATCAACGTCAACTGATTTAATAATAACATAAACTTAAAACAACAAAAATAACCACAACTTTATGTGTAAATACTACAGAATTCAGCATTAAGTCCTGTCGGTACGATAGCGTATATAATTGAAGAGGAAGCACTCTTAGTGAGAGTTAACAAAGGATGGCAATACATAGCGGTAAGTTAATAAAAAAAATTTTTTTTAAAATTGTTTTGTTAGATTATTTGTTAGAGAAAAAAAAATATATAAATTTAATTTATTGTACGTATAAAAAGAGACTTTGACTGAAAATTGAATTTTAATTATGGAATCTACCACAAAGTTAAATTACATATATGTAAATTTAGATACACACTCGTACTCTCTTTTTGAATTTTATATGAGAATAGTATCGATCAAAATCGTGAATCGTTTAACGTAAACAATTTGTAATTATATTCACATATTTGAGAGCAAAACAAAGAAAAAATTTTATTCAATTACATTAATGATTTTGTGGTGATTCCTTAGGTTGTTATCTTCTACACTGATGGATCAAAAATCAATAAAGAGGTGAGCGCGGATGTGCATGAAGAGGCCGTAAATATCACAAGAGCCCTCGGACACTATCCATTAGTATTTTAGGCTGAAACATGTGCCATTGAACTGTGTGTCCTAGAGTGTGTCAGAAGGAACCTAAGGAGGATCGCGATCTTTATTATGTCAGACATAGGACTATTCCTTTTTTTTAATGTACCGGGATCCAAACTGCTAGGGCAATGCTTTGATGCCATTAAGGTTCTAGCTAGGTATAAAAATGTAACTGTAAGGAGGATGCCGGGACATTACATCTAAAACGGAAATGGGAGAGTGGAAGGTTTCACCCGAAAGGGAGTGTCAATTTCTTTTATTTGGCCGGAGCCATACTTTGACGCACTAAGGACAACGGTCCGGCGCGCCTTGATTAATTGTAAGGAACGACCCAGAGTCGGGCATTGAGGAAATTGCCCGGGCTTATCTCACTACAAAAAATTTATATCTCTCCTGGGGTCGCGGGGACGGAAACTGACCACACTCGGTCTTCCAGATTTAAGGCTATTAGTGTGTGTACTCAATTGACACTCTCGAAGGATGAGTAAGGGAAGGTGTCTGCTTGGAAGAGGATATAACGGTCAAGCACTTATTACCAGGAACACCCTCGCATTCTCTTTTGTTATGAAATTGTTATTATTAAATCTGCTTACTATATAAATGATTATATACGTTTACTTGTTTACATTTTCAAATTGATAATATTTCTTATATATTTTAATTTTGAAATTTTTTTTATAAACTTTAAAATTCCCATTAAAAATTATTGAGCCATACGGAAAAGAAACAAACATTAATATAAAAAACTTAATCCTTTTCCTTAACATTATAAAATAATTGTGCAACACTAGTATCATATGTAAACTGTACAGAAATATTTTTATATTGCATTCTTGTGTATCTAAGTACTTACTCAATGTATGTGCGTATATCTATATGGTATTATGTGTAAATATCATAATTGTACATACAATTGAAATCACAACAAGGAAATAACCATATTATCTGTCAGTTTTTAAAAATTTATATTCAAAATATTTGAAAATAAAATTTTTTTAATTATAAAATATAAATAAGAAATTTTAGAATTATTCTAGACAGACCTATACATGCTTGTATAAAATATTATACAGGAAAGTATTCTCTTATATAATTCGATGTTAATATGGTGTGTGATTGAATGTACATGCGAGTACATACATAATTTAAACTTATTGTGTAGATTTATAGTAAATTATACGACCTAGAATTTTAGATTAAGCACATAGTACAGTGGTAACCATACAATCAACATTCTCATTTCTTGTGGGAAGCAATACAAGAAACTTACTATGAAATTTGAATTGAATAGTAAAATATGTATATTGAAATCCATAAAAAACTATTATACACAAAATGGTGGATGATTTTTATTTAAACTGTAATACATAAATTGGCAATTTTGCAAGCTTCGGCAAGCAAAGCTTTTTGTCACAACGAGCTTTTGTGCATTTTATGACCGCGAGCTCTTTAAGACGATCATAAGGTTGCTGAGGAATCATTTGAAAATTCTCATGGGTTTCCTTACAGGACATTGCGGACTTAAGAAACATCTAGGGTTTGGGGATTGACTGGTCTTGCAGGTATTGCAGAAAAGGAAGAGGAGACTCCGATTGCCCATCTAAATGGGTGACACAATAAATTGTTTCGCGATCGGCAAACTACAAATCTCTTTACTAAAAATAACTAAAAATTTCTTAATGAACCAGTCACAATTATTTAAGTTATACTGTATTTCTTTTACAATTTGATATTATAACATATAAGGTGGGAGTAGAAAAGACTTTTACATTTCAAATTTAATTTATTTTCTATTTTTCAATATGATTGGATTTCTTAGTTTGAAATTTGTTAGGAAACTTATTTAAATTATAAAATTATAAATTTTAATTTTTATTTTACTACATCTTTACTTTTTCATTTGAATCAATAAAAAAATATTTTCAATATATTGTAGGTTTTTGTGTGATTTATATTTTCATTCTTAGTAATTAAAATATGTATTCGTCTGACATTTCAGACTCCCAAATCAATTGGGCTCAAAGTGTATTAAAAAGAATTTGGAATTTAATTTTGTACAAATATTTTTTCCCTTACTTTTATTCTCTTCTCATAATAATATTATTTTGGTTTTTGGGTAAGCTATGTAATTCTATTTTATTTGACCTTTTTGTCTCAAATTCGTTTTTACAATATTGAAATTTGTGTATTTAATTAGAAATGTCAATTTGTTTTTCATTAAAGAAAGAAAATTTGGGGAATTAAGGTTGAAAAATAAATCAAAAGTTAAAAATTGCTTTATAGTTATAGGCACTATAATGTGGGCGAATTCTAGAAAATGGCTTATCTACCACATTACTTATAAAATGGGGTAGAATATATAGAGTGTAGAATTCGGAGACAAGTCAAAAATCATTACTGATAGATAAGAGAGTCATCATTTGTTACAAATATTAAATATAAATGTTCAAAAATGCAAATATATAAACATATGAATTTATTTGAGTCGAATCAGGTATTTGAGTCGACAAATTGAATAAGTTATTAAAATTCCTTAAAATTTTATTACAAAATTTAAAGTTTTTTTATTCTAATTATGGTATTTCGTATACAATTCAAATAATAACCTCTTTTTTTTTTTTATATCTTGTACTAAAATCCTTTAATCCAATTATTAAATGTTAAATTTTTCCATTTTATTGCAATTTTACCCTTCAAAATTTGAAACTGTGCCAAATATATTTGAGCAATAAACCTTATACCAAATACATATAATTTATTTTATAACTGAGCGAATTCGCTAAAGAAAATATTTCTGGTTTCAATTAAAATTCCATATTTCTTACATGAAAATCTTAAACACTGCAAAAAAATGTAATATTGAAATATTGAAATTTCAAGCAATAATATTTTTAATATATTAAATCAAAAAAATATCACGTATCCTTATCGTACTTTGACTAAGCACATAATATTCAAACCAAAGTTATTATAATCTACGTATATACTGTATGCCACACGTCCCTTATATTATAAGGATATCATTTGAATAAAGTTATAAAACACTCTCCTTCAGCAATATAGTAAACTTTAGTAAACTATAGCAAGAGACATATAGCTGCTTGGTTTCTTATTATTGTTCAAATTTTATGTAAATATTTATGCAAATATTTTTACTATTTTTATTTTGTAACATAAACAAACAGAAAAAAAACTATTGTAGTACGAGGTATATTGGCTAAGTATTTAGAATTAATTTCTTCTTAATAATACAGGAGTAGTTTTCACTTTTTGATCCAATTGCTATTACGAGTACAATTCGATTACAAACGATTGTACAACACCGACACTTTTTTAAGGAATGAGACTCCGAGAAGAATTTTATTAAAGCTACAGTTGAAATAATCTGTTCAAAACTACCCGAAAGCACTTTCTTTGACTTGATCATCCAAAGTCACGAAATTTAAAAGATGAGGAAGAATAGAAATGCAAATATCGAGTTATTGTGGTTTATTCTGACAGTCACTTAAAACATGACAAAAGTCTCACTTCAATGTCATATGATCGACTTACAAATGATTACAATGTCTTCTAAATTCTGTACAGAATACATAGCAAGTGTTGTATTATTTTCAAAGGTGTCGTGGCTTGATGAATTCGAAAAATACTGAAATTCTTTATCGAATTCTTAAAAAAAAAGGCAATGGCATTATTTGTGAATAACAAAATAAGACGCTACTTAATTATCACATTAGTAAGTGGCATGACTCTTGGAATATAGCCGAATAATAAATGATGGCATACCAGTAGTTTCTTTTTCTTGCTTGTAATGTTATGAGAAAATTGTTAGATTAAGAGTAAAGGAGGTGCCGTCTGTAAATTCTAATCTCTAGGAAATTTCATTCACTTAATTTATAATCCTCGTATTTAAAAGTAACAAATATGTATGGTTGGTATGTGCATTTATTTTAGAAATAAATTCAATCAATTGTAAAAGAATAAGTAGATTATTATTGTTGATATTTTATTATAATATTGTAGATATGTGTTGCAGGGAATATCTATATATGTACATGTTATGTAATACATATTATATATACATAATGTAATATTTTTGAAAAATATATGAAAATAAAATTTTTGGTATTTCTTCCAAACAATAAAAAAATTCACACATACATACATGCATTTTATGCTATTAAATTTTGGTTGAATAAATTTTGTTTTGGCGTAAACCGGAAATTGAAATAATATGTAATCTTATATAATACATGTAATATCTCGGTTTATGTATAAAATGTCTCTATTAACGCTCATCAATTAAATCTCTATATTATTAAGAGAAAATTTGTAATATTAAGTGCATGTTGTTTTTAAAAAAGAAAAGTTTATTTCGCTAAAGGATTAAGGAAACCATGTTTTAAAACGAGTACATTCAAAATTTTGATGACAATTAGAAAAATATAAAATACTTTACCATATCTAATAAAAACTTACAATTGAACAATTACTCAGGGCTAAGAAATTGAAGAATTCTACCAAAGGCAATTGCATCTATATATCAGAGA